GTAGTTTTGGACGATATGATCAATGTACGCTACATTAGCAAATATTTCACACACATTCATAACATGCATAATTATCCATATGAATGTAGACCAATATTTAGCGAATGTGCATAAAGTTGGCGTACATTAATCATGTTGTCTGGAATCGCCTTGATATTTAGACGAGTATTCGTCACATTAGCCGCCTGTATTAGATTACAGATTGACGATTACAATTAATGGTTATCCGGTCCTATTTCAGCCAGAGATCCGGAGTCGATCTCCAGTTGAGTAATATTTTTCACGATAAAATTATTTATAGATTTTTTAATATGTTATTCAGTATCAATAAGGGGATGCTGGAATGATCGAATTATCGATATTCTAGTTGTATACAAATTTCCAAATTGAAAACGAAATAAAAATTTGTAGGATTAAAGTAGACACAAAATAGAAGATGGTACTTTATATTAAAATTGAAAAAGTTTTTTTCGATTTTCAAACTAATCGTAATATAAATGTATTTATATTAATTAAATATAATTATAAGGGCCTTTTTCTTCTTTTGTTCCGTCGATTTCACACTCAAGAGTATGTTGGGATTCTCATTTGCAAAATGCTTCTCAGATATCATTCTTGTTGAATGATAAATAAGGATGATACTCATAGAAGCATTTAGAACCCCTCATCACAAATGAAAATTGAGAACTTGACAGAAAGAAATCGGACTCTTTGGACTCTCTTTTGTTCTTTCCATATTCCCACGCTCGTGCAAACTCTTCAGCCTGTTGCTATGCGAATATTGAGATTGTATATAAAGTTATCTAATTATCTTTCTTCGCGATTAAAAACGTCGATATCTTTTCTTGCTTTCGACTCTCGAACACTTACAAAAGCTTGTTTAATTTCCATTTACAATTTTTAGCAGATGCATTACACAACCAACAATGTAATTTTTTTTGAATCGCTCACGGATGGAAAAATGTGTACTTCAGCTAAAGTTTGACATCAATTGAAATGTATTTTTAATAGCATCACTTCTAAATAAATTTAAGGTGGAAGATACATAACTTTCTTGAGAACGTTACTATTTCTATGACTACGACATAATAACTAAGAAAATTATCCAACATTTTATAGGAGCGTTTTTATAGGAGAAATGCGATTGGACAATTTTTTTATGCATACGGCGTTTATACGGCTATACAAGTTTGTGGATATATCCATGGTGTAATAAGACAAGGGGACAGATTCTGAACTGAGCGGAAGGAGCGCAGTTACTGCAGTTACGCACAGTTCAATTGCACATACCACTCATATCGGCCAGTTCCTAATTAATTTTTTACTGTTTTTACCAATGAGATTGTATTATTTTAAATTAGCGATGTGATGTGAACAATTGATATATACATATATAGTGCACGTCTACATGATCCTTAATCGGATTTAATAACATTTGTAGTTATGAAACTAATAGCTATTCTTCTGAAGAATGGAATGATCATGATTGATTAATTTCTAACTACAGATGTTAACCCGATGGAACTATCGGCGTTTTTTTCGTTATGCAACCAAAAGCAACTATGGCTAAGATTATCTTCGTCTTCTGATTCCTGAAGACGAAGATTACCTTATGATAGTTTCTGATTAGATAACGAAAAAAACGCTCTATATTAGTATGCTCGTTTTTGAGACGAATTTCGTATCGCTCTACGCAGATGCAGCCATTTTAAACATTTACATTGGTAACTTTGATATGACATATTAAAATGAGTATATGTCAAGTAAAATCATGTTCAAATGTAAATTCATTGTTCACAAATTGTTCCCGAAAAAAAAGGATGCAGAAATTTACATTTGTTTCGATTTCCGAAGAAAAGAATACAATCTATTGTCATAATGACATAATGACATAACGCCAACTTCAAATTCAATTGCGACAACATGGCGCTTCTGGATACGCTTTTCTTATGTTCAAGATAAATAAGAGCATACTTGCGTTCGGAAACTCACTGGTGTGCCACTAATATTGGGTCATCTAAAAAGTATCCGCGGTTTTTTGTCACTAGATATATGACCATCAACACACATCTAGTGACAAAAAACCGCGGATACTTTTTAGATGATCCAATAATATAATATAATATAATAATAATAATAATAATATAATAATAATATAATAATATAATAATATTAGATGCGCAACTAAGTTCTCGCTATAATATAATCTTATTAAATATCTACCTTGTTTTGTATAGAAAAAAAAAAAGTGAAATTATTTTTTTTAAATAATTCATTCAATGTTTTTCACATTTTTTCATATTTCCGTAAGCTTGACGATTTTAATTCTAAGCTTGATCTTGATTGAAGTATGCAATTAGCATTCTAGCAAAACAATATCAATTTGTCAAAATATGCATTTACATTATATAATGCTTGTTGCTGTCTACGATGAACCATGTCAAATCAAATAAC